TCTTCCCAGGAGGGCCCCTTGTTGAATCATGGGCTGGCTGGGTTGGCACCACGGTACCATATCCTCTAGAGAGTCCTTAAAGAATTTGGGCCTGGGGCCGGCCCCGTGGCTTAGCGGTTAAGCGCACGCGCTCCGCTACTGGCGGCCCAGGTTCTGATCCCGGCGCGCACAGACGCACCGCTTCTCCGGCCATGCTGAGGCCGCGTCCCACGTACAGCAACTAGAAGGATGTGCAGCTATGACATACAACTATCTACTGGGGCTTTGGGGTAAAAAAGGAGGAGGATTGGCAATGGATGTTCGCTCAGAGCTGGTCTTCCTCAGCAAAAAGAGGAGGATTAGCATGGATGTTAGCTCAGGGCTGATCTTCCTCACAAAAAAATAAAATAAAATAAAAAGAATTTGGGCCTATTGTTTGTTCTCTAAAACTAAAATTGATCTGTCTTTCTTTGCCTGGCACGGTCCTGGTTTTAGCACTGAAAGTCCCCCATCCCAGGAAACCCACCAATCCTGGGCAACCAGAGCCCTGAGAAACACAGCATCAAATAGAACTGTGTGTGCATGTCTGTCTGATATGTCTATATAATGTATATATAGATCATTATGCATATATATATAAATGCATATGTCTCTGATATGTATATATCAAAAGGGAAGCTATCAAAAATATGATTATAGTGGGAAACTAACAATCTTGTTAAGACTTGTAATCTTTGACAGATCAGTTAGGTACAAAGAAAATTTAAAATTACATTTGAGCAATATAATCAACAAACTTGCCTTAATCCATACAATCGAACATTGTGCTCCACAAAGAATAGACTTTCTTTTCACCTCATTCAACAACATTGGCAAACCTTCCACATGGAGCTTATCTTGGAAGACAGGCCAGGATGGATCTTTGCTGGAAGCTGGCCATTCCACAGGTGCTCTCTGAGTCTAGGGGATTTTGCTGCTATTGTTGAAGACAGAGGCAGCTTTTGGTATTTACTGCCTTAAAATTCTTTTAGGCTAAAACTATAGCAGTCAAGGTATACGGAGTCAAATATTGAGGCTGCAGGCTCTCTTCTAGAGATTGAAAATTCTATTCCAAGACTCTTGGGTGCGTCCTTGTACAAAATGGTTAAATTATATAGAAATCCCTTTTGAAGGAAAAAAATTTCTCATGGATGCAGGGTTGACCTAAGTCGCTTTTATTAAAATGTAACTTAAATATGTACACTCATAAAGACCAGTTTTAAGCACTTAATACTTTATAGCTTTTATATAACTTAAATGCTAAAACAAATGTGCAAATAACTACAACTATTAAACTTTAAAATCTCAAATTAATAAAATTAATTCACTGCAACAGATGTTGTTTTGCTGAAACTAAAACACTACTTTGGGTTTAGCAATAGAAAGATGTAGCCTCAGGTCTAGTTACTACATGTTATCATTATCTGAATTTTGACTTCAACAATACTAACGCAGACAACGCATAAAGCGTGTTGTGCAAAACAATACTAATAACCTCAAAAATGCATTTGCTACTTGAAGATAATTAGATATCATAATTTAAAATTCTACTATCAAACCATCCTGAAAAGCATACATAAATGAGGTGCCATTTCATACTAATAAAAATAGTAATAATCGCTAACACTTATTGAACCTTACCATATGCTCCAAGTCTTTGCCACGTAATACCGCTAATCCTCACAATATCATTATGAAATCAATGCCACATGTTTCTCCACATATTATCATAAGAAGAAACTGAGAAACAGAGAGGTTGAGTAACTTGCCCCAAGTCTCACAGCTAGTAAGTAGAAAAATGGTTTTGAAGTCAGGCAGTCTGGCTCCACTTAACCATTACACCAAATTACCTGTCTCACTGCTTTGGACGTAAGGTACTTATTGGGGGGTTGCTAAATCTGCCTTAAATGGAGATCTAATCCAATTATTGCTGAAACCAGCAACGGCAACTTTTTCACTGCACTTTTACTACAACACCTGCTGCTACTCAATTGCCGTAACTTTGTCCATGTGAAGGTGGAACTGACATGCGTTTCACTCCATGCCAACAGAGCAGTGTCACCCCAGGAGCCGTTCTTTTGAGTTTGGCAAGCCTGAGCCCTGTGTGGACTCACCTATCTCTCCACATGCCTCTGTTTAAACTCCCTCTCTCTCATCTGTGCTGTGACCGGAGCCTCCAGGCCTGCCTCCGCTCACCCGGGACGACACAGGGGCAAACACAGGCCCTAGCATTGGTTTTGGGGCTGCCATCAAGATGACCCAGAACACATTTTTATTATTCATTATTTAAGATTATCATTGAAATTAAACTAGTAACTTTAGAGAAGACACAGATCCCTCAAAATACATACATCCTGAGGACCCCAGGTCTGAGAGACCTGTGGTGTGACATCATGAGCTCACACGAGGGACACAATAAGAAATGGCTGAATGAAACCCACCCTTGTGTCTGACAAGGACATGATTGACGACATCATTCCAAACACTGTATCAGATCTGAAGAAAGTTCATTTCTGCTCTTAGATCAGGAATGGTTGTGCTTCTCTTAAGAAGTCTTTATTTTGTGTTTTCATGTTCTGGACATGTGACATTTCATGCTTCATGCTTTTCCTGCACAGCTCTTATCACCATTTGTAATTAGACATTCATCTGAGAGCTTTCTGGATGAATGCGGGTTTCCTGCATTTGTCCGTAAGTGCCGTCAGGGCAGAGACCACGTCTGTCTGCTTCACCCCTTGTTCCCAGCATCTCTCACAGAGCCTGCCACATAGTGGGTCCTCATTCAACGGTTGTTGAGTGACCAAGCGAGTGAGTGAGTCAACGAAAAAATAAAACATATGAGACATGGGTTGGTCAGTTGCCCCTTTTTCATGAGCTTCTAGAAAGTTCAGACCTGGATTGTTTCCCCCTCATGGCGGGTGTAGACGGCCTTATGCTCATATTTTTGTATTAGCCTCATTCTTAATACCATTTTATATCTCTACCCTTAGTTTTCTTTTTTCTTTCCCATTTACTTCTAAGTTAGTCTGTCCTGCTATTTTTATGAATCCCTGTAAAATGTCTTAAATCCCTTGTGGAACACGGTAGGTGATAAATATATTTATTACAGTCTTTTTTATTTATATTTAAAATCTTAACACTAAACTCTCTGCCAACAAACATGTTTGATCACCTGTCAGAATAGCTGAGATTTGCTAATTCCAGCACCAGACTGATATTTAAAGCAAATTCCACCCAAGCCTAGAAATCACTCATGGTGTGTCACTTCAGGCACTGTTGTGTCATCTGTATGTGACAAGCACATTTCTAATAGGGCTAGGCAATAGAGTAGACAAGAAAGAACATAGAGCTTGCTACAAAAATGTTACGGATTGTGGATCAAAGAATCATTTATCTTTAGTGGTTCTCCCAAATGTATCGACATCAAACTCATAAAGAAAAGTTTGCTTTTACTGTGCCCTATTGGGGGTCAGGGGATGGGAGTGGGGGTGAGTGGGGGGGGTCTAAAGTCCTAAAGTCCTTTTTAAAATCTCTAACAAATACTATTCATACAATGGGAGGAGTGACTTGCAAGTCTGAAACTTCACAGTTATCTTCTCTGGTCTTACTCTTTTAAGGCACTTTCACTATTGTTCCCCTAAAATGAAACAACATTTTCAAATCCCATTATTGAGGACCCCCCTCACTGCACCACCAGTTCAACAACTCACGTATCTCAACTAGATCCGCCCACTAGATGCGGAGGGAGTGAAGTCCACCCTCTCCGACGCTCCTGCCAGGACCCCAGACCAACCCCGCCTTTGGGGTTAGTCAGAAAGCACAAAACGTCCATTTAGGAAACTGAGATTTCATTTCTACTATTTATAAGGCTCGTTTGAATCAGTTGAATCTTAGACAACTGCAAGAGGGAGGAAGAGTGGGTGTAAAGACACAGATGGGTAATAATCATGTGTCACTGATAAATGACAATTTCTAAAAGAATTCGATAGGGTGTGGGCTGGGGCTTTTTTTTCCTTCTCTCTCTCTTTTTTTTTTTTCTCTCTCCCCCACCTCCCCGACCCCCGCCTCTTTTTTTTTTTTTTTTTTTTTTTTTTGGCAGAGGGTGGAGATTAGAGAAGAAAAGGAAGGGGGAGAAAAGGCAAGACAATAGGCTAGCCCCGAGCGCCTGATCAGCATCCTAAAGCAGTCTGCCCCTCCCACCCTTCCCCCCAACACCAGGTAGGCTGTGGTCGCGATTTCAAAACAAGCAGACGCTGGCCCCCGCCTCCTGGACGAGGGAGGCCTCTTTCCGGGCGAAGCAGGGGAGGGGAGACAGAGGATGAGAGGGAAGGGAAGATGGAAGCTAAGAGATGAACAGACTGGCACGACCTCCTCGGGGACGGTGGCCTTTTTTCCCTCCAGGTGGTGGAGTCGCATAAAAATCCAAACCCACCGCGGCCCGCTCACGTGCCAGCTCCCCTGCTCCAAACGCGGGCGGCTGCCGACGCCTCACCTGCTCGCCCCGCAGCTGCGGCGGAGCGCGGCGCCACCGGCCACGGCGAGCCCGGGAGGAACGTGCCCAGCCCCGCCGAGCGCGCGCGCACGGCTCCCCCGGAGGGCGGCGGCCCAGCGCGAAGGGAAGGGAGGGGCGGCCCCGGGAGGCGAGGCTTACCACCGGCCCGCCCGGACCGAGAAGAAAGCCCCACCTGTCAGACGTTGCGCTTACGGGGAGTGGGTCCGACCGTCCCCGTGCAGAGGCCAGCGCTTGGCAGCCCCGCTTTCCAAAGAACCTCCAAAGGTTTCTCCATCAACAGAAACCTTTAGGCATAAAACCCCCAGCCGCGGGGAAAGGGCTGCATCGCAGACGCACTCACTAACAGACTCTCACCCATCTGGACCAAACAGCTCCCGCACGGAGGAAGGATGCTGTAGGGGTCTCAAATTCCATTAAAATAAACCAAACCAAGGCAAGCCCACAGTGCCCATTCCCAAGACAGGCTTACCTCCTGCACGGCACCTTATCCATCTCTGGTCTTCCAGTGTGGATTGTTCGGGTTTTTTGTTTTGTGTTGTTGTTGTTGTTGTTTTCTTTTTTGGATCTGCTTAATAAATGCACCCAGCTAATCTACAGAGCAATGTTTTCTACCCATCCTAACAGCCCCGCACTTGTCGGAGCTGCCTGGAATTCCACCAGCAATGCAGCTTCTCCGCGTTGGTGGTAATTACAGACAACAGAGGCTGCTACTCCTTGACAAAAGGCTTTCGTTCCCGCTCGTCCCTTACAGCCCTGCCGTCAGAATTAAATCCATTTCCCGCAAGAGGCTGGGAGGAAATGAGAGCTGTCTTGGCGGTGCGCGCTGACAAAAGGACGCTTGGCGGGGCCCACAGCGCCCCCTCTAGCGGGCCGCTGCCCGGCCGCCGCGGGCCCCGGTGCTGCAGTGCCCCGCCCGCAGGGCCCGCCGCCCGCGCTGCCGCAGTCCCGCCGCCCAGGCCCTCGGCCCACGTCCCCTCCGGCACCACCGACTGCCCGCAAGAGCTGAGAGCCCATGTGAGGATTTTGTTACTAGGAAGAAAATCTGAAACGTGAGCTCCGTTAGGGGATGTACCGTCCCTGGGATTAAAAAAAGAAAAAAAGTCTTACACTGGGAATGTTTTTTGTCTGGAAAGGACATCTTGCCTTTAAAAGATTAACTCTATTAGTATTTTCATAGCAATCGTTTGATCATTTGAATTCCAGCCCAAATTTTCCCTATCCTAATTCTGACTCCATTTTCAACTAGGGCAAAATTTTTGTGGTTGCCCCACCCTCTGGGGCTGCCGGCCCAGGGCCCTCCAATTCTCACTACTTCCTCCTCTCACCCGATACCCTCCCCAGTCTCCTACCCTAGAGGGAACAGGTGTTTAGTGAGCGGGGAGCTCGATGGAGAACCAGAATACTTGGTTACAGTTTCTGACCTGCTATTAACTAGCTGTGTGACTTTGGTAAAGTCACTTAACCTTTCTGGTTACTTAGTGTGTTACTCTGTAAAATGACAGGGTACCTAGGGCATCTCCCACTTCTGCTTTCTGACAGTGTTTCTCAATACGTGGCCCTCAGAGAGTAGGGATGTCAAATGGTAGCTTGAAACTCTACACCCCAATAATCTCCACCAGCTCCCCAAAGTTCCTTTAAATCAACATTCACTGTGTTTTTTAAAATGTGATTCAGGGCTAGTACAGCTTCCAGAAAAATCTCTGGTCTCTGCTCCCAACCAGATCATGGCCCCTCTCCTCCATCTAGGTTCTGGGGCACCCCAGCCTTTAGACACATCCATAAAAATCACCAGACCCACCACAGTGCTGCTGCAGAATCAGAGTCTCTGGAGGTGGGCCCAGGATCTGTATTTTTAACAAGCATCCCCAGTGATTCCTTTGCACACTAACGTTTGAGAAATGCCACTCTATGTGAGCTACTCCTGACGTAGAAAAAGAGAAAACGCCCACCACACCAAGCCCAGAACAACTGGCGGGTGCTCCATCTCAGAAGCCAGAGGACATTTTGTCTTTCTGGCCTAGCTCCTCCAACTCCTCCCTCCCCACTCACGGCTTCTCATTCCTTCCCATTTCATCTTCAGAATCACTGAGTCCACAAGCCTCTCCCCACTCTCCTGTCAAAACCTGCTAGAAATATGAGCAGCTCAGCCACCAGGACCCGAGGTCTGTCCGTCCAGAGCCAGGACGTGCTGTGTTTGTTGAGACACTTCAGGAGGCCATGCTCTGTTGGTGCCCAGGGTAGATTTCCAGGAGGTCAGGAACGCCTTCTCCTGAGCCCTGAAATCACAGGGATGGCGGGCCCTTTTCTGAACGAGAACCCAAAAAGGGAATAGAGAATTTTTGCTTAGTCCAGAAATAGCAGGTTTCATAAATTCTCTTGGTCATCTCCATCACTCAAAAATGTCTCTTCGTGGTGTATTATTTAGCTTTCTCAGACTAACAATAGCAAACTTTTGTTGGCTCCTGCCACTGTTCTGAGGGCTTTATGTGCATTTTTATTCATTTAATCCTCACAAGAACTCTGTGAAGGTAGTACCATTATTACCCAATTTTACAGATGAAGAGACTGAGGCCCAGAAAGGTTAGATAACTTGCCCAAGGTTGCACAGCTAGTGGGCGGCTGAGCCAGGATTCAAACTCAAGCACTATGGCTCCAGAGCTTGTGACCCCTAACCTCTACCCTGCACATGGCCTCTAGGAAGGCACAAAAAAATTGTCTTTAAAAAGAACAACTAGTACGAGACACTGATAAAGTTGATAAGGCCGATATACTCCCCCTTTTCCAAAAAAACTGATTCTGCTCTTCTAGCCAACACAGAGTCGGGGGGGCGGGGGGAGTCCCTCCAGCTTCTCCCAGATGCCATCTGAATATGACATCTGAATGTGACGAGTGCTGGGAAGAGTAGCGCCGTCCTGTGGCTCTAGGAATTGTTCAAATATCAGAAAGGAAACAAGACTTCATTATACTAATTTCCATATTAACAGCCTACATGGAATATAGTTGAAGCTCCTGAAGTTCTCACTCAATTCCAAATTCACTTTGAAATCCAGCAAAAGGAACCATAGCTAGTTAGCTCCACAGGCTGTCATGGGACAGTCACTAGAATTCAGAGTTCCTACTACAGAGAGCGCAAGATGCCTGGCCCCTAACCAGGGATGGGAAAGCATGGGAGACTCCAGGTCATACCCAGAAAGATCATGAAGCCGGGTACCTGGGGGTTACTGTAAATATTCAATAAGATTACCTCTCGACCTTGTTATGAAAAGAAGTTAATCTTGTCAATTTGCTGTTTTCTTGTTTAACCTGAGGGGTGACTCAAGGGTCACAAGGATTTATGAGCTTGTTTTACAGAAGAAAAAGAATGCCTTCAAAGGTCAGCAGATAACCAGCCCCAGACACCCACATGGGCTTATCGGGAGTGAAATAAACATGGATTTCCCCTTTGTTTCTATGCAACTCCTCTTGCCAAGCCCCTTAGCTCTATAAACGCCCTGCTTTCTTCTCGTTAAAGAGGCTTTGAGAGAACCCACGCCCCTGCCTTCTCATCTTGCCCAATTCAAATAAAACTTTCTCCATCTCCAAGCACACGAATCAGTGATTCACTTACCTTGCACCAAGCACACGAATTTGAGATTAAGATGTTCGGGATCAATCACATTTTGCTAGTCCTCAATGGCCAGATAGTTTAAAATTAGATTTTCTGACTTATTTGCAATAAAATTATTTCTAATCTCCAAGTCTCTTGACAAAAATATTTTTGGCCATCAGTAACACATAGAGAGAGCAAATGTCAGTATAACAGACACCCAGAGTGTCCCCACCTCCTGGTACTCATGCTGTTGTGTAACCCCCTGCCCTTAGGTGCCAGCAGGACCCGTGACTTGCTCCTAACCAATAGAATACAGCAAAGGGGATGGGGTGTCACTTCTGTGATTACGATACATAAGATTCTTCATCTAGCTAACTGACTCTCTTGATTGCCTTCTCAGCTTGCATGCTTTGATTAAGCAAGTAGCCATGTTTGGAAGACCTACATGGCAAATAACTGAGGGTGACATCTGGCCAACAGCCAGCTAGAAACTGAGGCCATCAGTCCAAATGTCCTAAAGGAAATGAATTCTGCTACCAACCATGTAATCTTGGAAGCAGATCCTTCCCCAGCCAAGCCTTCAGCTGAGACCCCAGCCCAGAACGACACCTTGATTTGTGCCTTGAGAGAGACCTTGAAGCAGAAGACACAGCTAAGCCATGCCCAGGCGTGACTCCTGACCCACAGAAACCATGAGATAATAAACCTGTTATTTTAAGTTGTTAAGTTTGTGATAATTTGTTACACAGCAATAGATAGCTAATACAGTGCCTTAGCACTCTCCAGGTCCAGGCATACGTATCAACTGCCTTCCCCAGGGCATGCAGAGATGCTGGAGAAATTGACACCCCAGGGGATCAGCTCTCAACCAATGACCATCAGGAGTTAGTGGATAAACAGCCTGGCTCCCTCATCCCTAAGTGTTGGGGTGACACCTCTGAGGCATGTTGCACATGATCTCCAGAGTGCCTCAGCAGGACTGAGCCCCGGCTGCCCACAGCCATAACTGCTCAGCCATGCTTCTTTTATACGCTGGCTTTTCTTCCCTGTATAACTTTCCCACTCCACTATTGGTGTTTCCTTGGCTTGCCTCCCAAGTAAACTACAAATCATGGCCTACTTTTAGGGGAATCAAATTTAAGACAGGAGCGAGGGGGGAAAGATAGTGCTTTCAAAGCAAGACCAATGATAAATTCTAAGGCTAGACCTCGTGAAGACACCATTCTCCCAACAAGAGAAAGTTCAGCCAACCTGTGGCTGAAGCCTGCTATGGAAAGAGAACTAAGGTGGGAGTCCAGGGCCTGGGCCTCTAGCCTTGGCCCCAGTGATTGTGTGGCCTCAGGAAAGACTCTGACCCCTGGGTCTCACTGCCCAGCTGTTAAGTGAGGGTAACTGTGCTTACTGTCTGTTATGGGTTGAACTGTGTCCTCCCAAAATTTCTATGTTGAACTCCTAACCCCCCCAGTACCTCAGAATGTGACTGTATTTGGAGATAGGGTGTTCAAGAGATAATGAGGTAAATGAGATGAGACTGAAAAATTAGGTCATGTGGGTGGGCCCTAATCCAATAGGATAGCTGTCTTTATAAGAAGAGGAAATGTGGACACAGACTAGCACAGAAGGAAGACCATGTAAAGACACAGGGAGGAAACGGCCATCTATAGCCAATGAGAGAGGTATCAGAAGAAGTCAACTCTGCTGACACCTTGATCTGTTGATCTCAGATGAATTTCTATTGTTCAAGCCACCCAGCCTGTGGTACTTTGTTATGGCAGCCCTAGAAAGCTAATATAGTCTCCTACCACCCAGGGTTGTCGTATGTCAATATTTATCTTATTTAAAGAGACTTGAAAACTCTCACTCCCATTAACCAATGCTTATGACTCCATACTCTTCTAGCTTAAGCTTGTTTTGTTATTAAAGGTTAATTTCCCCAGGGAGGGTAACAGATGCTTATTCTTCAAGTGATGAAAACAGATGGGATGAAAGATACTAGGTGTAGGTCCTGAGAGGATGAGGATGGAAACCTCATAGGGGTTGAGAAATCAGCGTGAAGGCTGAAGGCACTGAAGCCTATTTCTTCAAAGCATGAAATTAAGGAGAAAGTAGAGTTGAGTCAATTTGTGACAGACAAGACCATTTGAAAAGTAATTGTTAAACTTTGAATTATCCCACATTTTTTTTTTTTTTTTAACAAAGAGACTCCAAAACTTTCAAGACTGCATTTATTTGTCTCAAGAAGGTAGCCCTGGACCCGCCTTTTCACTTTTCATACTTGAGGAAGCCTGAAACAGAGAAAAGAGTCCATCGTAAATGGCTAAAGGATAAGAACAGACAGTTCACAAAAGAAATATGTAAAAAAAAAAATGTAATTTCACTAATAATCAAAGATGTTTAAATTTAAAGATACCATCTTTTACTCATTAACATTCTATCATTTTAATAGATCCCATTGTTGGCAAGGATGTGATGAAATTAGCACTCTTACATAGCTGATGGTATTATAAATTGGCACCGTGCATCAAGTCATAGGTTGTACCTACTTGTGTTTCATGAGTTCTACTTCTGGGAATTTATCCTAGGGAATAAAAATACAGAAAGTGCTAAACGTATCAGGTTATTTGTCATGTTTATGAGAAAAACTGAAAACAATTTAAATGTCCAACAATTATAAAACTGTCCCATTTAATGGACCATTAGAACTTGTTATAAAGACTATACAGTAACCTCTAAACATGCCAATGATAGAATAAGAAAAACAGAACACACAATATTATATACTTTATGATAATTTCTTAATTCAGTTGTATAGGAAAAAATTTTGGAAGCATTTTAGTATATTTCCATCAGTGGTTTTACTAAGATTTAAAATCATTTGGAATCTCAACTTGAAAAAAAAAATCCATGACTGAAAAATAAAGTCACTCAAATCATGGTCATGCAGTTCAGATATTGGAACCCAGATGTATATCACTATGAATAATACTGCAATCAAATGGTTTAATTTAGCTTTAAAAACACATTTACCTATTTCCTAGTCCACTCGTATTTCAAGGGTGAGTTTTGTTAGAATGAAAGGCAGTTAAAGCATTTACCGCTATCACCCACATCCCTCAACTCCAACCACTCATTGACTCACTGGATATTGGGAAAGTTACTTCTGTTCCTTAGTTTCCTGTGATAAGAAATTTTGACATATTGAGGTATATGGGGTAGCTATTCTGGTTTAAACCTGATTCAGCCTGAACTAAAGAAGCCTGACCTATGGCCTACCAAACATACATTTTACGTCTTCTTTCACCATTAAAGTAAAGATTGCTTTAAGCATTATCTCAAAGTAAAAGAATGCACTCTTTCTACATAAGGATGCATACTTCCTTTTCCACATGCCAGTATCAGTACTCCTGAAGGTAAGTTTCCTTTCCCAGACATCAGGGTCATGTTGACCTGCTAATCTGAAACTGAGTATCTCTGTGAAACTTTGATGAGTATGTATCCTGGGTGTGTTTGATATATGTTCTTTGTTCTAAAGAGGTATAAAACTGCACTGAAAACCACGCTTCTCCAGAACACGTTCTTCCTTTGTGGAGACTGCCTTCCCGGGCTATAGTCCTCAGAATGGCTCAAGTAAAATTCACCTTCTCTCTCCTATCTATAGAATAGGTTATTGGTTATTTGTGCCGACACCTGATGTGTAAAATGGCTATAATTGTTTGTACATCACAGGGTGGTTGTGAAAATTAGTTTACTATGTATGAATTGCCAGGAATAGCACAAAATAACTATCAACTATTTTTTCTGATCTTGATCAAGTCTTTCCACTATACATGTGATCAAGCTTTCTTTTTTGAATTCAAATTTAGCTTTAGAAGTTTTATTTAAATTTTTTTTATCTTTTTATGTATCCAGAATGTTTTAAACCTAAGAGACAAATTCATATATTGCTGTGTTTACCTGAAGGGTTTAAGGATAATTTAATCCTATCAGCATATAGTCTAGTGTATTATAGATCATTGCCTTGTTTTTGTTTTAAGAGTTAGCTGGAAAATTCCAGGAATGTAATATTTAAGTATCAGAATATGAAAACTTAAAGTTTATCATTGTTGTCTAATTCTCACAGTTCATGAAAAAAAATGCCCGTTGGCCTCATGTAAGTCAAGGAGTTGAAGGTCCAAGAGGGTGGTCTGAGGAAAGGGAACCCAGCTTGCCGCTCAACTCCTTCAATAAGGTGGCTGCACTCCTGTTGTTGGCTGCGTAGCTGGATAATTTGACATATTATCCAATGTACATTTCCCCCCACCCACTGAGCCAAGCTTTGGGGGTGGTGGGGACATGGGTAGATAGATACCAGCCAGAATTCCTTGCTCACTCAGCTTTAGAGCTCAGTTCCCAGCTTAACAATAGTCTGGAAAAGCCAGGCTCTCATCTGAAAGAAGCTGACTTTGTTGAAAAGGAGAATAATGAACATGTGGGTTCTGCTGGGCCAGAGCTTAGATGGCTGCTCATCAGGTAGTCACAGAGCAGCATCCCAAAGAGGAGGCAAGATATGATGTGGGCAAGACTTCCTACAACCCAAACCAGAGATGAAAGCTGAAACAGCAGAAGGCAGTTCTTCAGAAAGGATAGAACTAGTGTGTAGAAGCTGCCTGATCCCTGAGAAGGACCCCTGTACCATGCCATCCTGGGCCTTGATCCAGGGACGGGGAAGAGTTACGTAAGGTAATAGGACCCAGGAAAGGTGAAGTAGACTCTGAGGAAAGCAAGGACTTGCACCCACAGGAGTTTAGTGGCCACATGGCTGAGGGACAGCCTCGGGTAGATGGGCCTGAGGGTAGCTGCATAGCCCATCTGGGAGTGGGAAAGCCAGGGAGACCAGAAGAGCCCTGGGTTCTGAGTGGAGAAGGCCCAGCAAGCCTGGCCTAGAGAAGAGAAGCCACGGTGGGGCCATGGACATCCACAGCGGATCTCAGCTCAACAACACCCAAGACTGGGGGCCAGAGGACTAGTTGGCGTCAGAGGTGGGGAAACACACACGAGCATTCCCATTCCTGCCCCCACAGTGCATCCACTCCCCACTGCACCTAGAGGAGAAGAGGAGTGGGGAGATTGCTTAAGTGACAAAGAGCCCCCATAGGGATTCTGAACATTGAACTGACTCAGTATTTACTCAAAGAAGATAGACCTTCATGGGGCAAGATAAAAAGTTTTCCCACCATCTGAGTCATACGGGTATTACTGTATTCTCAGAACAAGTGGAGTACAGTGTAGAAAGTAGTTACATTTCTTTCGGTCTAAACAGTGCTCATAATTGTCAATCCTGCTTCGATGTGTGCAGGTCCAGCCAGGACCCAGCAATCAGAACCCAGCATTGTGGCCACAGCCTTGCCGTCTCATGTCTGGAGGGAGAACCATACAGATGATCTTCCAGCAAATGAAGCTCCTTTATAATGAGCAGGGCTTTGGTCACCAAGCCCCATGTGGTCTCTCTCTTCCCTTGGGGATCTGGTCCAAACTGCAGGATGCAGGGGGACTCTGCCCCTGGGCTCCTCTCACCTCAGAGCATCCCAATGAGGCAGGTGCCCCAGGCCCATCTTCCACACCAGAGTTGCTGGAAGGATGCATTCCTGGAGAGAAAAGTCTTCCAAAAGGGAAGAGAGTGATCCAAAAAGGACCAGAAGTGTTCCTAAAAACAATCAAGTTGTATTTAAAATTCCTTTACCCTCCCACTAGAAGAGCTACATTGAACACTGTGTCTTTGGAGTCCATTTTGTCCCTGATCTGCTGTGGGTAACCCAGGGATTAGAATAAGGGGAGAGGGTGGAGGACACACTGACCTCCCTCGGGGTGAGCTTATGTGGTCCAAGCATGTGGTAGTTTTCTGCTAATCAAAGAGGTGGCTGTCTCAAGAGAGGTCAGCGGCACCTCAGAGAAGTCCTGCCTCCACCGTTGTGAGACCTTTCCATCCAATTCTTGCCATTCTCCTCTGTATCTATGTGGGACCAATGAGATGGACCTTTTATAAAACTCATGTAAATATTTCCTTAAGAAGTCTACTAGAATAGATAAGGACTTACTCCAATTAATTTAGCCACCAGGTCCACTATATGTCAGAGAAATGGAAAAGAAATTATTGGCTTTCTCTCATTATCCTTAGCTCACTGACAGGGTTAGGAGCACATACCAGGGAGAGATCTTGTCAAGCACACCAAACTTCACGAGCACTCACACACGCACACAATAAACCCACTTCCATGATTGATTCAATCTTTTGTCCCCATAGAAAAATTAGAGTTTCAACAAAAGAAATCTCCCTCTCTTATTTTCACAAAGAAATAGAACTTTGTTTTCCTTCTAACATTTTCTTCTTATCTTGATCAGATTGGGCCTTACGACTCTTCGTCAGGTGCTGGTGGGTCTTGTCCTGAGTAGCTGCAGCCTGGGGAATCCTCCATCAGAGGTGGCATCACTCCAAAATAGATGGATCCTGTCCTCCATGCCCCAGATCTCACCTTTCCAAAGTTCCAGAGAGAACGACCAGCATCCATATCATCACAGCACCAACCCCCTAACCCCCAAAGTTTACAAGACACAATAACATCCCAGAGCCAAATGCAACCGCTGGAGCAGCCTTCCCTCTGAGCCCCCGTGCCCTTGTCCCGGGCTGCAAAGTTAAATGCCTAAACTGGAGATGCAGTAAGGGGTGGTGATGATTGACAAACCAGAGACCACTCACCCCATCAAATGGGCAGCTCAATTTTTTAAAATACTCTGCTGGCTAAACTCATCAGAATATGCCCCCTAGGCCATCAGACAAATGTGCTTCCCAAGGAAAAGCCTAGACCGACCACACCACCGTGGTAGAATTTTTGCTTCACGTAGAGCTACTACCTGGGAAAATGTAAGATGGAAGACAGAAGATGGATGCTCCCGAGCTTTCCCAAGGTGCTAATAAATTCATCCCAACTAGCCAGACCATCTCATTTCAGAGTTTAAAATGCTATTAGAAGAAATGTCCCCAGTGGTCAATTTCACACACAGATTACCACGATCTGCAGAGGGGGTAGTGGAAATCTACCATCCATACAGGCTTCCTTCTCTCAGAAACTCTTTCCAAAATTAGAATCCAGGCCAAAATTTAGAAGTGTATGATGGTGGCACATCCAGGCCCTGTAACAGACACTTTTGTTCATCCATATAGCCCTTTCCAGAGCCCCTTTGACTCCAGCACAATCGGCATCTCACTCCAACATTAAGGATGGCCTTCGTCATGGGACACAGTCGTTACAGGACACACAACACTAAACAAAATTCAGAGCCTTGCACAATGTGAAATGGCCAAGCTATAGCCAAGGTTGACAAATAGAAGGAATAAACAATGGTGGGTTAGTGAACATCTTGCCCCCTAGCAATGCCCAATCACAAAACAGCAAAATCTGAAAAGTCCAATTCTAAATGAGCCTCGCCTGGACCTTGACATTAATCCCTATCGCTACCAAGGCGATACAGATCGCTGTAGCTTCACATGGCTCACAGCCCTCTCCATGGCCACATACTTGCTGATTCAGTCCCCAAGTGAAC